TGCTGTGAGCTCTGATGCATGGCACTCTCTCTAGGGTGACCTTGAGGGTCTGTGTCAAAAAAAAAAAAAAAGCCTAAGAGTTTGAGGTTTCTGTGAGCTGTGATGCCATGGTACTCTACCCAGGGTGACAGCTTGACACTCTGTCTCACAAAAAAAATAAAAATAAAAATAAATAAATAAATAAAAAATAAAGAACAGGCTGGCTGGGAATGTTTCTATTGGCAAATACAGAGATAATCTCCTTCATGGAAAGGAACTAAACTTGGGGTGTCCATCTTGGGAGCATCCTTAGGATGGGGTAAAGTCTGACCCTAATCTCAACTATCTCCATTTATTCAAAGTCACACCACCTTCAGCAGCTCACCTGGGGGAGTCATAGCTCCCCAGGATACTTATAACCCACTTCAAGCTCTACAAGATATCAGCACAGTCCCAAACAAACAGAACTGCAGACAAGATACAGACTTTAACATACATCCCTCGCTTTCGCACTAGCCTCAAAGTGCAAAGGCCCCACTGCACACATTTGGGGTTCAGACTCCACGTGGGCAGACCTGCCTGTGTCAGTGGCATGCCTGGGTGTGGCAGTGAGTGCTAGGAGCACAGCTGGCTCTCAGAGTCTATCCTCTCTCTTCCCAAATGTTGAGTCCCAGCGAGAGCTCATCCTGACTCCGCTGGCTCACCTCCTCAGAGATGGGGCTGTCCTCACCCCACTACACTCCCACTCAGCCCTCTATAGTATCTTCATAACAAAATTCAGTTAAGGAGTGTTGCCACCAAACAGCTCCATTCCCACTGCCCAGAGGAAGCCAAAACACTGAGACAGCAGCTGTCACAGCAGAGAAAGGGTTAAACTCCACAGAGCACCTTGTGGGGAGAAGGGAGGGATTTCTCAGCTCTGTCTCCCTGAGATTTTGGGAGAGAGGGTTAGTCTGGTGGGTGAAGGATTAGGCAACTGGGTTTGCTTATTGGTTAGGTTTGAGGCATGATAGGGTGTAGAAATAATGCCTCAGTTCCTGGGCTCCCAATTGCAGTTGAGTCAGTCTCCTGGTATGGGCTGCTGGTCTGGGTGGGTCCTCTGGACACAGGACCTGGCAGATATCTCTGAATCCATCTACCTTCAGGT